AGTGTGTTTTCTTTAGGAGCATCCCTAGAGCAATCTCCAGCAACTGAAAAACACGCTTTACTGAATGTTATAAAGTAGTTATGGGGGTGTTATGAACAAGTGTTGGGTTTGTGGGCTAATGCCAAAAAGCAAATGAGGAGACAATTCCATTAATACCAGTACTTGTGTTCCTGATGAGAGCTGCCCACATTCTCCAAAGGTGTGAGGTGTTCTTTTTTTTTTTTTCCCCAGTACCAGGGATCAAACTTAGGAACTTGCGCTTGTGAGGCAGGTGCGGCGCCACTGAGCTAAATCCTGGGCCTGTAAGAAGCTATTCTTGATGTTCTACTCATCACTACTACTTACTTACCTATAGTTGCAGAACTAGTAACGACAATTAAAAACTTAGCGGCTACAAAACAGAGAAAGCCTGAGTGATGCCTGCCAAGAGCTATGTACCAGGCTTCCAAGCACCATGCACCCCAAGATATGGGGACTATCTAGGTGGGTCCAAGCAATTGCTTATATAATGTCACCAGTAAGGTCCTTTCCCACCAAATGTGATTATAAACCTATTCAGCATGCTATGAAGGAGCCCTCCAAAAAGTAACTTTCCTACTGGACCAAGGAAGCTGCAATGAGGTATGTGCAGACAAGTTTAACTAATCTATGCATAAAAGACACCTTTTGTCAATTCCTAAAGTCCTATTTTGGGTCTGTGGAGTATTCGCTTTTTCTGTTCTGTCTTCCCACTGGCTTGGCTCTTGCTGTTCGGTCTGGCTCACTCCTGCCTCCCAAATAGCATTTCCCACACTCAGAGGCCCAAAGGCCCAACAACCCAAATTAGAACCAACCCTGAAACAAATGAAGATAAACTAGATTCCACTGAGAAGAAGTTCCACTGGGGATCCTGAGGGCTCATTCTTGGCAGTACTGGGTTTTGAAATAAATCCATAAATTAGGTAAAATCTTGCATTCTGTGGCCAACCAGACCTTTCAAGGATTCTCATGGGTAGAAGCCATGCTTCAAAAGGTAGATAATAACATGTGTTCAATGAAAGCACTTAAGAGAACATCATGCAGCTTTCTATTTCCTTTGTTCATGCGGTTGGCTTGTGGATGGTGTGAAAAAAACCTGAATATTTTATGTACCTTTGCTTGGTTTTGATATTATAGGATGTAATTACAAAGGTAATTTATATAGCTGTTGGTGTACATACTGG